GGGACCGGGGAGCCGGTCCGCGGGGCCCGGGAGTCCGCTCCTCCGGCCTCGGGGCCCGCGGCCCGGGCGCCCACACCCTCCTCCGCCTCCGGGGACTCAGGCCGGGAGCCGGGCGGGCCGCGCGGGGCTGGGCGGGCCGCGGACGCGGAGCACGGCGCCAGCTCCCCAGCCCGACCGAGCGGCGGGGCGGCCGGGCGGCCGGGGAGGCGTCTCCGCAGAGAAATAAGCTGGGGGCGCCGGGCTCACGGGGCCCAGCCGGAGGACCGGTCCCGGAGCCGGCTGTGCGGGAGGGGCGCCGGCGGGGAGGGGGCAGCGGAGACCGACCAGCGGGACCGGGCGGGGAGGGAGCCGCGAGGGGCAGGCGCAGCCCGGGGCGGCCGGGGTCGTGCGGGTGGGCGCCTCCCGCCAGCTCCTTTCCGGGGGGTGGGCGCCCCCATCCCAGAGGCCCTACCACCCCCAGACTGGGCGCTCCCCTCCCCGGGGACAGGGCGCAGCCTTCGCACGGCCGGTCCCTCCCTCCCCGGTCTGTCCTGGGGCACCCAGCCCGACTTCCTTGGCGGCGGGCGCCGTGGGCCCAGTGACGCCGAGAGGGTCGGGGCGCAAATGGAACCAAAGACATGAACACGGGGCCGCGAGGCCACGCCGGGCTGCGGCTCAGACCCACAGCGAGGCCCGCTGGGGCGGGGGCGGCGCCCGGGGCCCAGCGGCGAGGACCCGCCGTCCCCGCGCTCGGCGGCCTCCCTGGCGGGTTGGGCCGGGACGCTCCGCGGGGACAGAGGCCGGAAGGTCCAGCCCGGATGAAGCGGCTTCACGCCGGTTCCAGGGAGCGGTCGGTGGGACGGCAGACCCGGGTGGGATGAAAACACGGCTCCGCGGCCCGAGGGCAGCACCGGGCGCTCCTCCTTTTAAATGAGCCTTTATTCTGGACGTTTCCTAACGGGAGCGATGGAGAGGGAGCTGGAAAGGAAGCCGGGTCCCTTCTCTTCATCAGCACTCAGCTAATTAGTTTGTTTTTGTTGAGATATTTTCAAGCAAACGCAGATATCACACCATTTCGCCAGTAAATACATGTGTCTTTAACTGACAAGAACTTTTAAAGATTAACAATACAGAAACTAAGTAAATCAAGATCAACAACACAGGAAATAAAAGATTAACAAGACAGCTAAAAACGCACCTCTCAGTATGCCGCCCCAGTCTCCCTCCGAAGCGCCAGCTTGTCCTGGTGGAAGGGCGGTGGTGGCTTCTGTCCCACTTGCCTGCAGGGAAGCAGCCGAGTCCTGGTCCCTGTCCTGGTCCCGGTCTCAGTGCGGTTTAAGCAGGGCCGGGGGCTCCGGAGCGCGGACCCAGCAGGCGGGCGGCTCTGAGGCCAGGTCTCCAGGCGGCCGGGACTCGGCTTCCTCTTGGCACCTTTGTCCCTTGAGTGGGGTCCAGGTTGAGGCCTCAGAGTCGGGAGGACTGGGACTGCTCAGCACAGGCAGGCTCCAGGGCGGGGGTGGCCCAGTGACTTCGCGGGGTCCCTGCCCCAGAGTCTCTGCTCCTCTTGGAGCCTCGGTTTCCCTTTCCAAGAGCTGTCAGGTGGGCCTGGCCAGTGTAGTTCACTAGTTGAGAATCATGGACCCAGGAGCCCAGGGGTCGCAGGTTCGATTCGGGGGTCAGGGCACATGCCCAGTTGCTGGCTGGATCCCCAGGAGGGGCCCTGCAGGAGGCCTCTGGCGGATGATGCTCCTCTCTCATCGGTGTTTCTCTTCCTCTATCCCTCTCCCTTCCTCTCTCTAAAAATCAATAAAAATGTGTTTTTAATTTTAAGAAAATTGCTAGCTGGGACCAGAGGCCACAAGGATGCTTGGGAGAGAGACCTGCAGGCACAAGAGAAAGAGCGCCCGCCTGCAGCTCCTGCTCCCTCTCTCAGTGCCAACCGTCCCCTCAGCTCCCAGCCCTTTTGTCTCAGTCCCCCGGCAGCTCAGCGCCCAGGCCCTGTGGGGAGGGCACCTTGGCCTGGGAGAGGGGCCTGCAGTGCTCAGTGTGCCTGGGTCAGCCCAGGGGAGGCCCTGGGCGCAGGAGTCAGAGTGGCGGGGGAGCCGCCTGCTAGGCAGGTGCCCCTCAGTCCCTCAGGCGGCTTAGGAGGAAGCAGGCAGGCGCGGGCCCAGGGCCAGGGGTGGCTGGATGGAGCTGGAGGGGGTCCTGGATGGGTCCTGGGGTGTCTGGGTGGAGCCGCTGTGCCAGAGGTGGTGGGTCACTCTGAATCCTACGAATCCCACACCATCCGGTAACCCCTAGACTCCTGGGCGGGGGTGGCGCTGGCCTGGGCGCTCCTCAGCCTCCAGGTGTGGGGGAGGCCCAGTACTCACAGGGCAGAGCCCATCCTCAGCCGGGTGAGAAGGGGCCGGATCAAGGTCGCTGCCACCGGGGCTGGGCCAAGGCGGCCCGCCTGGGCGTCCAAAGCCATCGATCCTCCTGGGCTCAGGGAGTCTGACCGGACACCAGGCAGCCCTGGTGGCTGAATCAGGCTCTGAGGGGTGGGCGGGGTGGCGTGTGGAGGGGAGGGCAGGCAAGGTGGAGGCAGACCTAAGCCATCCGTCTTCGGCCAGGAGCGGAGCCAGCACGCCGAGGCTGGCGGGGATGGCTGGCGCTGGGGCTGGCGCTGCGGTCCCAGCCTGGCCCCGCTGTAACCACCGCTGCTCCCTGGAGGTGCTGCCCTGGGGCCGCCCCGCGATGCTGGGTAATCGGGCTCACTACGCCAGCCCCTGGGGCCCGGCAGGAGCCCAGCTTCCTGCGCTTCCCCGTGGGGCTCCCAGCTCCGGAGACAGCGCCAGGCCCTCCAAGAGGGGGCAGCCTCCTCCACACCCTGCCCACCGCCGCCCTCCGGCGCCTCAGCCCCGCACCGCCCAGCCGCCCCTCCCCCAGCCTCGCAGGCCGGTGCGGGCCAGCCCAAACATCCACGGATTCATCGGATTCACCGGAAAGACGTGGCCCTCCTCTCCCCGCTCCCTTCTGTTTCTTGGGGGTGGGACTTCTGACTGCGCCCACGGACTCCGCACCCTTCACAGGCCTGCGCCCTGCGCCCTGGGGCTCCCGGGCCTGAGGCCGGCTGCCTGAAGCCCCGAGGGAGACCCGCCCAGGACCAGGACAGGCACGGCCTCTGCTCAGCACAGCTGCAGCCACCCTGTCACCGCAGGGCCACCGTCCAATAAAGCAGTTGCTTTGCGGGGTGTCTCCTTTAACTTGGGGTTCGATGATCCTGTTCTGGTTCTGGATTCCTGATTCCCGGTGGCCCAGCATTCCCGAGAACCCAGTGGCTGGTCACAGGGCGGGTGCTGGGCTCACAGGGTCCCGGGGCTGTGGCCTGGTGCGCAGAGCGGGTGGGCGCTGCAGGGAGGACCGGCCCTGGCCCCAGGCCTCCGATGGAGGACAGAGCTGCAGGAGGCCGTCCTCAGAATGTGTCCGCTGATGGCATGAGGCCACCACAACACAGCCGAGCACGAGGGTCCCGGGAGCCTGAGCCAGGTGGGAGCGGCCCTCGGAGTGGCCATGAGGGAGCCCCCTGGCACCTCTCAGACCAGGCATGCAGGCCTTCACAGGGCACAGCTAGCAGCAAATTTGCTTTGTTAAACCAGATTCAAGCCCTTCTAGATGAGCTCAAATTGAGGCTCAGCAGCTGCTAAAAGTAGGGGGTTAGCCCCGCCTCCAGGAGAGCGAGTCTGAGCCTGGGGGTCCAAGAGGAGGCTGATGGGTCTACCGCCACAGTGGAATGGGGCTGGGGGTGCTCCCCCCTGTCCTGCATCAGGCACGGGAAGCAGGGTGCCAGGACAGGGTGCCCCACGGGGATTCAGGGGCCTGGCCTCGGGGCACTGGGGAAAGACAGGCGGGGATGATGCGGTCAGAGCTGGGCAGTAGATGGGCCCAGGGGCTGCCCGGCAGCGAGGCCCCGTGGTACCTTGTCCTGGGCTGCGTGTGACCAGGCTGCAGAGCCTCTAGCTCCGGCTGGCAGCCCAGGCCCAAAGCCGGATGGAGGTTTTCCAGGGGGTTGGCTCTGCAGTCACATTAGCGACCCTTCCACCCCACGACCCGCCCCAGGCTGGAGAAGGGGACGCAATACAGGGGCCCTGCCTGCAGCCTGCAGCGGGCTGGGGGGGAGAGGGGGGCACTGACAGAGAGGTGGCCACGGGGACCCCACCTTTGGAATTCCGGAGCCCACAAACGGCCCTGAGCAGGGACTGCGCCACCTACCCACCGGGGCCTCCAGGTCCGAGCCCCTAGTGGGCCAGACTGCAGGCACCCAGGGTGAAGGGAGGCGGAGTGAGGGGGATGAGGCGGAGGTCACCGTCCCCCCCAGACCTTGCTGGAGCGCCAGGGTTTTGTTTTGGCCAAAAGAAAAGCCCCATCTGCTTGGAAGCTTTTATCTCGTCCCGATGGGACAGTGGGCATGGCTGCCGCACGGCCTCCCGTGCCAAGCGGAGCAGCCACGGGTTCTGCCTGAACTGCCTGGTGGCTGCCGGTTTGTGCGGAGCCCCAGAACTTGGGGTGCAGGACCCACCTGGTGCCCCTCTCCCTCCCAGCTCCCTCCCCGGCCCCACTTCCTCCGGGTCCGCTGGACCTCCGGGGGAAGGGGGGTTGGCAGCTGGGCCCCCAGACCTCAGACTCGGGCCCACCTGCCGCCAGCGGGCCGGCTCTGGCCCAGGTCAGGGAAGTGCACGGAGGGGAAGTGCCGGAGAGGGCGGCCCCGCCCAGTGACCACACAGCAGCCGGAACTCCAGAAAACGTCCCTTTTTATTCCATACGCAAATGAGTAGACTCGTTAAAAAACAAAAAAGAAGGAGAGTCTTGGCCTCTGGCGCTGCAGCCCCTGGGGAGTCCCCGCCAGGCCCTGCGCTCCGAGCGGAGACCTGCGGGCCCGCATGTCCGGCCGCACCTGCCCCGCGCCCGCCTCTCCCGGTCCTCTCCGCGGCCCGGTCCCCGCCCGAGGGGCTCGCAGTCCCGGAGGCCGACCGGTCCCCGCGGCGCCGGTGCTGGGGGCTCCCCGCGGCTTCTGCAGGGACCTCCAGGCTGAGCCCCTTCCCGGGCGACGGCTTCCGGCCTCGCAGCTCCGCCGCGCCCGCCGCGTCCGTTATCTTCTGGGGGTGCGTGGGGCACAGCCCGCCCCGGCCTGCCCTCCGGAGCCCCAGGGGCTGTGGGCGCCCCGGGCTCCCCGGCGTGGTCCCCGCGGGGCGTCCCGGCGCTCCTGGCGGCGCGGGGAGTGGCCCGGCGGAGGGGCTCACACCAGGCCGGGCATCTGCGCCCGCAGGAAGGGCACGGAGGCGGCGGCGGGGAAGGCGGCCAGCGGGTAGGCCAGCGCCCCGGAGAAGCCGAGCAGCGGCGGCGGCGCGGGCGCGGCGGGCGCCAGCGGGAAGGGCAGCGCGGCGGGCGGCCCGGCGGCGGCGGCGGGCGGGCTCTCGTGGTAGAGCACGGGCACCCGCACCAGCCGCTGCGCGCCGGGCGGGGACAGGCTGGCCGCCTCCAGCTCGGCCGCCAGCTGCCGCTTCCACTTGTTGCGCCGGTTCTGGAACCAGATCTTCACCTGCGTCTCGGTGAGCTGCAGGGACGCGGCCAGGCCGGCGCGCTCGGCGCTGCTCAGGTAGCGCTTCAGGTCGAAGGTGGACTCGAGCTGGAAGACCTGGCTGCGCGAGAAGACCGTGCGCGTCTTCTTCTTCCGGCCGCCGGCCGCCGCCGGGGCCTCCGCCGCCGCCCGGGCCTCCGCCGCCTCCTCCGCGCCGGCCGCCGGGGCCCGTTCCGCCGGCCCCGACACCGCGCCCGGCCCGGGGCCCCGCGGCCAGGCGCCCTCCGCGCGGCCCGGCTCCTCGCCGGCCTCGGGCGAGTCCCGGTCGCTGGCTGCTGGGAAGACAGGGAAACAGGCGGCTGCGCGGGCTGCTTCCGGACCCGGTCCCGGTGCCCTCCGCGCCGCGCGGGCACCCTCCCGCACCGGCGCCGCGCGGGCACATCCCGCGGGGATGGAGAGGCGGGGCAGGAGGGCACCTGCGGACCGGACACTACCAGCACCCACACCAGAGACAGACAGACAGACAGAGACCCGCCAACAGCGCGCGGAGGCCGGTTCCCGCAGCCAGCGAAACGCATGGAATACGGACCCGCAGGCCGCCCCGGGAGGTCAGGGTCCTCCAGGGAAATGTGGGCGCCCGTGGGCAGCGGACACTCCCGGCCGCAGCCGCAGCCCCGGAAACGAGGCCCGGCTGGGCCGGCGCTGGCGCAGGAGCGGGTGCAGGACCCGCGTGCACAGAAGCGTTCCTGCGGGAGGCAGGCCGCCAACGCACTGGGTCCCCCGGAACCTCCGGTGCTCAGGCCCCGGGTGCCCACCGCCCCTTCTCCCCGCTCCTGACCCAGATTCCCGCTGCTCCCCGAAGCACTCAGGCCGCAGCACACGCAGCCGCCGCGAGCGCCCGGGCGGCCTGCAGCCTGGGCTTTCCGCACGAGGCGGAGGGCCCTGACCGGCTCCAAACACCGAGGTCCCGACTCCCACAGGGAGGAGAGGCCGCTGGCAGCGGCTGGAGCCGCAGCTGAGGCCGGTGGTGGCCTGTATTGCCTGGTGCCACTGAGGGGGGGGGGGGATGCTGATTTCTGGGTGCCCCTACCCTACCCTAGTGGCTACACCTCTGGGTGCCGCAGAGTGATGTGGGGAGCCTGTCTGCCCACCACACCCTCACCCCCAGACTCACGGAGGCTGGCCGGCGGCTCTGACGCAGGCTGGGGCCCTAACCCGCATGGTGTGAAAGGAGCCCGGCCACCTCCGGGAGCTGAGGAAGTGCGGGGGGGTCTTACCTGAGCCCCTCTTCAGAGTCACCCCAGGAAGGGCCCTACACTGGATCACCGCATTTTTAGGAAACGGATCCGCTCACATTAATAACAGGGCTCAGGACCTGCCCCTCCCCGCCTCGCACACCAGAGAGGGGCTTCCCAAGCCGGAGCAGCACACAAGATGCCCCGGGGCTGAGTGGACCTCAGTTCAAGAGCCCCCAGAACCAGAACCGAGCCGGCCACAGTGTATGTGTGTGTGTGTATCTGTGTGTGTGTGTGTCTGTGTCTATGTCTATATGTGTGTGTGTGTGTATCTGTGTGTGTCTGTGTGTATCTGTGTGTGTGTGTGTGTGTGTGTCTGTGTCTATGTATATGTGTGTGTGTGTGTCTGTGTCTGTGTGGGGGTCTCTGTGTGTGTGTGTGTGTGTATCTGCGTGTGTCTGTGTGTATCTGTGTGTGTGTATCTGTGTGTGTCTGTGTCTGTGTGTGTGTGTGTCTGTGTGTGTGTCTGTGTCTATGTATATGTGTGTGTGTGTGTCTGTGTCTGTGTGGGGGTCTCTCTGTGTGTGTGTATCTGCGTGTGTCTGTGTGTATCTGTGTGTGTCTGTGTCTGTGTGTGTGTGTGTGTGTGTGTGTGTGTGTGTTGGGGGGCTGGTGAAACCCCGGGCCTGGTTGGAATGGCTTCCCAGGGCCCCTCCCTGTGTCTCCCTGCCAAGGCCAGGTCCCCCCGAAGCAGCAGCCCTCCTAGGGAAGCAGAACCTTGGGGAAGGGGGCAGAACTCGGGGTTCTGTAATGAGTGGGTGTTGAGGCTGAGGACCCCAGTCCCAGCCCTCAGCAGGGAACAAAGGCAGGAGAGAGGGAGGAGCAGGAGGGAGGGGGCTTCGCTACAGGAGCCCCTCTTGCCTGGCAGACCACAGCCTCGGCCTGGAGGAAGGGAGAGGCCGGGCGGGCGGCCTAGTCCGCAGCTCGCGCAGGAGACGGGATTTCGGGCACAGACACTGTGGAAGCCGCTCCCCTCTGGGTCCAGGGTCCGGCTCCCACAACGGTGGCTCCCTCTGCTCAACGCCTGTATTTCCCCGCATCCGACTCTCCTTTGTCCTCCCTTCCTCTCCTCCTCCTCCTCCCTGTACCCCCTCTTCCCGCTCGCTGGGTTCTTTTGCTGCGCCTCCTCTGCTTTGCTCCTGCAGCGTCCCCCGTCCCCGTCCCTCTCTGCTGTCTTCCAGGCCCCTCTCTCCTCGTCAGGTTCACGTTCTCTTTCCTCTCCACTGTCACCGCCTCGCCCAGGCCCTCCCCGCTCTCCAGCCCCCCAGGCCCCGCAGGGTCGGGCGATGGTGGAACCTCCTCCCCGCGGGCACCGTCCGGACAGCAGCCTCCAAACGCGCCCCGGTCTCTGCTGCGGCCCACGCGACCGAGACGCCGCCACACACGAGGGGAGGGGAGGGTGACCCCAAAAAGTCCCCGAGCAAATGCGCGGGGAAGCAGCGGGCCCCGCCGCCCGGCCCGCCCGCCACCCGCCCTCACTCACTGTCCGGACTCGGGCCGCCTCCGTAGCCGCCGTGCGCCCGCGGGCACCAGCGCGTCCCGCCGCCGCAGCCCAGGGCGCAGGGCGGCCCGGGCCCGGGGGGCGGCCGGGGGCCGAGGCCCAGCGCGCCCGGCCCCAGCGGAGCCCGCGCCCGCGCCTCGCCGCCCTGCCCGGGGCCCGTGCGCAGCTGCCGCCGCTGCTGGAGCCGCCGCCGCCGCGCCCGCTCCGCGTCCTCGTCCTCCGGGTCCTCGTCCTCGTCCTCCCCGTCCTCGCGGCCGCCGCCGCCCCGGGCCGCGCGCCCCGCGCCCTTGGCCTCGGCCGCCAGCAGGTTCTCGATGAGGAAGGAGGAGGCGCGGGCCGGCGTGGCGCGCCCCGGCTCCGTCAGCTCCTCCGGCATCTCCGCCGCGGGCCCGGCGGGCTCGGCGGGGCTCCTCGGGGTGCCGAGCGCCCGGGGCGCGGCCGGTCCCGCACCCACGGGGGACGGGGCGCGCGGCTCTGGTGCTCGCGCCGGGCGGCCCTGGAGCCGCCGCTCGCAGCGCCCGGTCGGGCCCCGCGGGGGTCAGGCGGCCTCCGCGCCGGGTCGGGCCGGGCCGGGAGCGGGTGCGCCCACAGCCGGCCGGACAGCGCCTGGCGCTCCTCTCCGTCGCCGCGCTGGTCGCCGCCGGGCCGGCCCGCTGGGGGCGGGGAGGGGAGGGGAGGGGAGGGGCCAGCGGGCGGGGCGGGCGGCCGCCAGCTCAGCCCCCGGAGCGCGCGGCGGGCCCGGCGCGGCCACGGCCCCAAGATGCCCGGGATCCGGACGCGCAGACGTCGTGTGTCGGGGACCCAGGCGGGGGGCGCGGCGGGTCCGGCCCGGCGGGATCCATTCCCGGGGTCCGCGCCAGCGCTCCGAGGGGGGCCGGGCGGGGGGGAGGGGGCGGGGGCGGGGGTAGCTGGGCCTCGGCCCGGCGACCTCCCATTGGCTGTGGGACCGATAAGAGCCAGGCTGGCCAATCACCGTCCTGCGGGGCCGTCATCCCTGCTGGGGAGTGTTGGACGGGGTAACTGTGTGTGTGCGGGGCCTGTGCGTATGTGTGTGCGCGCGCGTGTGCGTGTGTATGAGGGGGTGTGGAAATCCCGGGGCGTCCAAGAAGTCGCAGGGGGCTGGCCACAGTCATTTTTTTAAAGACCCCGAGTGTCCTGGCAAAATTATGGCATTTTTTCTTTTATTTTTAAATATGTATATTTTTTTATTTCAGAGAGGAAGGGAGAGGAAGATGGAGACATCCATGATGAGAGAGAGTCGTTGATCGCTGCCTCCGGCACTGCACGCCCCACGCCGGGATGGAGCCACAACCCGGGCCTGTGCGCTGACCGGAGTCCAGCCGGTGACCTCCGGGTTCCTGGGCAGATGCTCAGCGCAGCCACGCGGGCCGGCCCGGTCTCACGTTCGCACTGAATGAGAGTGGAGCTTGTCGTGGCTCCGGTTCCCATACCGCCTGAGCCACTAAGAGCAGCTGCCGCTGGGGGAGGCCGAGGGGAGGGGCCCTCCTCTGCGCCCCGTTTCTGTACTGTGAGCCCGCGGGGAGCGCCCCCCCCTCCGCAGCGGGGAGCGCGGGCAGGTGCCGCCAGCCGCCCGGGGAGCCGCAGGGAGCGCCTTCCGAACGGACTCCCGCCCGGGCGGCAGCCGAGAGGCCCGGTCGAGGCGGCCGCAGGGGAAGAGCCGCTTCCCCGGACGCGGGTTACCGCGGGGCGACCCATTCCTGGGCCCAGGGCCGGGGGGGGGGGGGGGGGCGGGGGGATGGGGGGCGGGGGGATGGGGGGCATTCCAAGGCGGGCGCCGCTCCCCCAGGTCCAGGTCGGTGGCGGCCCGGCCTCCCTCTCGCTTCCATCTCCGGATCCACCGGGCGACGCGGAGGGCGCAGGCGGGAGCGGCGGGCGGGCAGCGGCGGGGCCTGGGTCCGTGCTCGGAGCCCGGGGCCTCTCCGCGCGGCGCTGTGGTCCGAGGGGCGCGCGGCGGTGGGAGCCTGGAGGGACCTCGGCGCGGAGACCAGGCCTCCGGGTTCGCTCTCCGGGCCGCTCTCCGGAGCCCGCCGCCCGCCTGCCTGCGTTTCCCTGCGGCTGCCCGCGGACCGCGACCTCGGGGAGGGCTGTCTGCCCACGCAGGACCGCGGCTGCCCTCCGTCCCCCTCCAGCCCGCCCACCCGGAACAAAGACCCGTGGCCCCTGCCCGGAGGGGCTGGGCTGGTGCAGGCAGAGATGGGCCTCTGGTCCACAGATGGCGCCGAGCTGGGGGCTGGGGAGCTGCGGCCCCCCAAGGACTGCTCCCCGGACTCCCAGCCAGAGGGCCCGGCCAGGGGAGGGTGGACTCCCCAGTGACAAAGAGAAGGGGGGGTTCCTGGCTCAGCACAGGGGGTGCAGTCGGGGCTCCTGACAGACGGGGAAGCTGGGCCGGAGGGAGGGGGCCGGAGCGAGGGGGGCTGAGGGGAGCAGTGCCTCCCAGACAAATCCCGCTCCCCCAGGCTGCCCGGGCCCCCCATGAGCAGCGCCCCCCCCCCCAGCACTTCCCCGGACCCACAGCCGCAGAGTGGGGCCACCCAGCCGGCTGTCTGGGCACCTTCCCAGTGGGGCTTCCTCTGAGTGGCTCCCGATTCTCCCTCCTGGGAGGGGGTTTGGGGGGTACTGGCCCTGGGCCGGGGATGGGGGCTCGTCTTCCCCACCCTGTCTCTCTCCTGTGAACCACACTAGTGAGCGCCCTGTCTGGGCTCGGCTGCTGGCAGTGAGGCTGGACTCAGCCGACCTGTGTCTCCCCACTGCCTCTGGGGGCCCTGTGGGGTGGGGGTGGGGCTTCTGCGGGTGTCAGGGGGGTGTTCCTGAGCGTAGGGCACCAGGCACCTTGGGTCCCCACACTGCAGGGCCCACCCTGGTGGCGGCAGCCGGACTGGGACAGCCAGGGCGGTGACTTAGCCGGGCGCTGGCCCAGGCTCCTCCCTCCGGCAGCCAGTCCAGGTGGGGAGGAGAGAGGCCCCAGCCACCAGACGGCAGCAGAGGCCCCGGGTCCCAGGTCCAGAGGCTGCAGCCTCCAGGTGGAGACAAGGCTGCAGTAGAGCCATGGCTGTTCCAGGACCCTCTCCAGCTGCTCCGGCAGGTTCCTGGCGTTCCCAGGGCCGGCGCCGGCTCCAGGCAGACGGTGAAGCTGGAGGCTCCCGCGCAGAGTGGAGCCTCAGCCCACAGGCTGTCCCATCTGCATCTCCGTCTCCCCGAGGGCACCCGTCCCACCTCAGCCTCCTCCCTCCTCCGCCTCTCTTGTCCTCCTCACCCTCCAGCCGCCATCTCTCCAGGGGCCCTGGCCACTGTGGGACCCAGCGAGGGTCTTCCCACCGGGACAGTGAGCAGGGGTTGTGCCTGGCCCGGGACCCCCCTCGCCTGGCTCAGGGCTGGTGGCCACGGGGCCCACACACCAGAGGGGGGCCATGGATAGCCCCACCTCTTCTGTTCTGTTTTAATACAAATTTCCTTTGGGGCCGAAACCAGTTTGGCTCAGTGGATGGAGCATCAGCTGAAGGGTCTCAGGCTCGATTCCGGTCAAGGGCATGCAGCTTGGTTGGGGGCACATCCCCGGTGGAGGGTGTGCAGGAGGCAGCTGGTCGATGTTTCTCTCTCATCGATGTTTCTAGCGCTCTATCCCTCTCTCTTCCTCTCTGTGAAAAATCAGTAAAATATATATTTTTAAAAATTCCTTTTGGGGATAATTTCTAGGAGCACCCGCTTTAAATCCCAGGGCACTCCCTGCTCACTTCCTCTCTTCCTCCCCGCCCCCTCCCCACCCCCAGGTGGCTGCTCTGGCCCAGCGCTTTGGGGGCCTCCAGCTCCTTCCCCCCCCCCCAGGGGTGCGCTGTGAACCCTGGAGCTGACACAGAGCGGGATGTTCCAGGGGTATGTGCAGGTGCGGTGTGCGTCTGTTTGTGCGTGTACATGTGTGTGCGCGTGTGTGCAGTGCACGTGCACGTGTCGTGTTGTTGGTATAGATCTCCTTTCCAGAAGGCTTGAGCAGTCACATTCCCACCAGCCTCTGTGGCCTCCCCATCACCCCTCTGCCAGGGGGGCTCGGCTCCTTTGGCTTTTTATTATCTGCCAGACGGACGGGCGCGGTGGTCTTAGGTCCAGGCTGGGGTGGGCGGCGGGCAGGGTTGGCGGGGCGGCTGGCGGGGCACAGCTGGCATTCACACTGCTCCCGGCCTCCTCCGTGTGCTCCTGGCCCACGGCAGGTCTCTGACTGGGACTGTACCCTCCACCCAGCCCCAGCCCAGGGCTCGGCGCAGTGGGGGCAGCGGGCACCTCCTCGCCCTCGCGGCCGAGATCCTACGGGCAGAGGGCACTCACACTCACTGCCGGTCCTGAGGCCCTCAAAGGAACGCGTGGTCTGGGGCCACGGCTGAGGGCCAGCGTGTGCAGTGTCCTGGCGGCAGGGGGGCAGTTTGCAAGGCATGGCCTGCTCCTCGCCCACAGTGTCCCCGGCAGCTCAGCCGAGGACACCAGTCCAAGCATTGGTGTCCGGGTGCTGCATCGCGCCTTGGGACAGGGGCAGGGACCCTGCTGGCCGCCAGCGCACCGGCTCCTCCTCAGGCCACTTGGTGGTTAACAAAGCTGAGCACAGGGCTGTGACTGTCCTGACCCTCCAGCGCCACCGTGGGGACACTTCTGGGACTGACCTGCAGGAACAGCAGGCTGGGACAGACGTTTTACCCCGGTCCCACTCCCCACTCCCCACTCCCCTCCCCACAGTCTGTGACAGTCTCGGACAGCCCTGAAGAGCAGGAGGGGAGAGTGCGACCAGGCTGGGAGAGCAGAGGGGCTGCGTTAGCTTCCAGGCTCACCCCCCTCCGGTGAGAGCAGCAGAACTAGGGAGAAGGGCTCCCACAGGGATGCGCCCGGCTCCAAAGAGCCCAGTGCACCCCCTCACTGCCTGCCAGCCGCCTGCCAGCTGCTGGGGGCCAAGCCCGCCCTCCAGGAAGCAGGGGGACAGCTGGGTGAGCGGCGTGCACCCCAGGACCCAGCGCGGCCCCCAGGCAGTCTGCCCCCCCAGCCCCCTCTTGGAGCATCCCAGCCCTGAGAGTGAGGTGGAGGGGGACCCCACGGGCAAGCCCACCTTGGGAGGGAGGGGGACGGCTCCTGGGGTGCATGGGCTTTGGGGGTTCCTTCCCCTCCTGGAGCCCGCAGAGCAGACCACCCCCGGGGGAGGAGGAACGGATTCTGGCCCATCCCCGGGCCTGGCCCCACCCCCCTGGGTTTGCGCCCAGGCCCCTCCGTGGGCGCAGGATGGAGGGTTTCCCGGCCGCCCCTCCGCCTCCCGCAGAGCTGAGCCAGGGAGCCAGGGACTCACTGACGAGGTGTAGCTAGTGGGTGCCAGGAGCCTGGCCTGGACGGGCCTGCGCAGCTCCTGGGGGGCTGGAGGCAGTGAGGCCCAGGAGCCCCTGGCAGAGCCCGCTCAGAGCGGCCAGGCTGGGGCGGCCCCCAACCTCTGCTCTGCGGGAGGAGCCCGTCCGGCCCTCTGGGTCCCAGCTTCCCTGCCCCTGGGGTGTCTGCCCTCACCGAGGGGGTGGGAGCGGGAGGGGGAGGGGGGGCCGAGAAGCAGAGGGGGGCGTGGT